CCAAGGAATGCTCAATCATACCTCAAGGGCACTTGCTCATCTATGTTCATATCAGCATTGTTTGTATTAGCCAGAACCTGGAAACAACCTAGATGCCCTTCAACTGAAGAATGGATAAATAAAATGTGGTACATATACACAATGGACTACTACTCAGCAGAGAAAAACAATGACATCATGAGGTTTGCAGGCAAATGGATGGATCTAAAAAAAATCATCCTAGGACAGGACGCCCGGGCCAGTGTGTGTTAGTGTGTATGTGTGTGTTTGTTTGTCTGTGCGCGCTCTGAGAGTGTGTGTTTGTGTATCGGTGGTCCCGTAGGTCCCGGATGTTGCAGGCAGTATGAGGCGAGCTCAGGGGGACAGGGACCAGCTGCTGTTGCCGCCGTTCTCAGGGTGAAGAAAAGCCAGAAATCTTTGCCCCCTGACTTTGGAAACCCAGTTTAACCTTCAAATTGGCGATGTCAAGGGTTCCAAGTCCTCCGCCTCCGGCAGAAATGTCGAGTGGTCCCGTGGTCGAGAGCTGGTGCTATACACAGTTGTTTGCGAGTAAACCCAAAAGGGCTGGATGAAGAAAGCCAAGATTACCTGTCACTTTACCTGTTATTGGTCAGTTGTCCAAAGAGTGAAGTTCGGGTAAAGTTCAAGTTCTCCATCCTGAATGCCAAGGGAGAAGAAACCAAAGCTATGGAGAGTCAGCGAGCTTATAGGTTCATGCAAGGCAAAGAACGGGGATTCAAAAAATTTATTCGTAGAGATTTTCTCTTGGATGAGACCAATGGGCTTCTCCCTGATGACAAGCTCACCCTCTTCTGTGAGGTGAGTGTAGTACAAGATTCCGTCAATATTTCTGGACAGAATACCATGAACACGATAAAGGTTCCTGAGTGCCGGCTGGCAGATGAATTAGGAGGGCTGTGGGAGAATTCTCAATTCACAGACTGCTGCCTGTGTGTGGCTGGCCAAGAATTCCAGGCTCACAAGGCCATCCTAGCAGCTCGGTCTCCAGTTTTCAGTGCCATGTTTGAACACGAAATGAAGGAGAGCAAAAAGAATCGGGTTGAAATTAACGACGTGGAACCTGAAGTTTTCAAGGAAATGATGTGCTTCATTTACACGGGGAAGGCTCCAAACCTTGACAAAATGGCTGATGATTTGCTGGCAGCTGCTGACAAGTATGCCCTGGAG